ATGCACCATGGTGTTATTATTGTACAGACAGCACTTCAGACAGCAGTACGCTGTAGTCGACAAACATTTATTTTGGTTAAATGCGGGACAAGGGGGGTGGTGCTGCTGCTGTAGTCGATTCGTAGTGTGTGGGCGTGTAGTTCAGTTGTGAGCACGCAAACGTGCTGCAGGGACAGGTGTACCTCCTCGGGCTTGCGTACCCTTTCCTTGCTAATAGTGTGCGTGTTCTTTACATGATGGCTCTAGCATTTTTGTAACCACGGACCGAGTCTTGCTAGATGTTGGGATTAGCAACTGACACGAGTTTATTGTGAAGAAAAACAACAACAAAACATTTGACTGCCCGATCCTGGGATCCTGTGATGGGTTAGACCTCTCCCCTGTGGAGAATTCTCTGCCTTCATGTGTCTTACATCAGATGACGTGGGGAGATGGGACGCACGCATTCGAAACGTCATGAGCACTGAGAAAGGCACGAAGTTCTTCACATCCGCATTGCACGGCGAGGCACACAAACTCCACCCTCGCGGCGACTGAATGCACGGGGTTGGTCTCTATAGCCCCAACGCCCCGCGCTGCCCACGCCGCCAAAACTACGTTCATCCGGAAGGACTACTGTTAAGTTTACAATAGTCCTTCGGGTTGAACGTAGGGTGGGTTACGTTGTAAACTACTGCCGTGCTGTATTTTCTTCCTAATACCGCGCTGCTGCTCGACGAACATGCGAAGTGTCGCATCTACAGGTACCACTACTGCTAGCGTACTTCTACATTAATTATCCACCGGTCATTCGTGAAGAGGAGCGCCGTATGCACAGTCTATGCAAAAATCTCACCCGTTTGCGATGTGCTCAAGAATGACCAGGTCCTTGAACCTCAGGTTCCAGTTGATGGGCAAGTCTGCCTCCGGCGAAAGTCGACCACCACCGGCACTAGTGCTGTTGTTGTTGTCGCTGCCGCCATCATTGTCGGGGGCACGGCCCGCAGCGCGAGCTGCTGTCGATTTCTCCCTCCGCAAGGCGTGACGCGAGGGGGACTCGGACGCCTCCGTGGTGCCATCGCTATACTTTCCGCTTGCTGAGGATGCAGATTGCACGCATCCCATCTCTCTCTCTCTCTCTCTCTCTCTCTCTCCCTCTCCCGTAGGGCGTTCCGCTCCTTGCAGTTTACTCACCCCTGCCGAAAAAAGGCCCCCGAAGCCGCTGTGAAGGGGGCTGACGTTTGATGTCACAGCAGTAGCTGGCAAACTCCGTTAGTTGGTCCCCGAAAAGTTCGCACTGCTGCTGCTGCTTCTTCCTTCAGCAACAGTTGTTTCTGGCTCTCAACGTAACTTGTCGTGTGTAGGCTCGGAACTCGGAAAGCCTGTGGACTTGCCTCGAAGCAAGCAGTCCCGTCTGCTGGCGTCCCTTGTTTGTTGTCTACTCGCAGAGAAACAAACCTCCGTTTTTCGAGAGCTATATTTCCGAATGGCAACAGCTCTTCCGCTCTGTCGCCACGCGTAGCTCCGTAGCTATCACTGGATGCCCGTCCTGTGCGCATCCATATCTATCCGCCCTCCTGTTTGCGGTTACCAGTCACGTGGGAACGTGATGTGGTTGGCGAAGGCATGCCTCACGCCCGCGGAAAATGGGCGGCGCAATACAACCCGACGAAACTCTTCACATGTACACTCTGTGGGTCCCCTCGGGCGACCCTGCCTGTCCCTTGACCAACAACAAAGAAAAGCGAGCACCCTGCCTGCCTCCCCAACGCGTGCCGTGAAAGTCGCCGCGCTGTCCATCATGAGTGAGAGTGGAGCTGAGAGGAGGAGTCGGTTAAAAGCTCTCAAAGCGAAGGCGAACAAGAGCATAAAGTTCAGAAACTATCGCCCACAAGGTGCCGCCATCCGGCAGCAGGCCCTGGATAGTAGCAAGGCTGGCGAGCCAACAAGCGGTAGCAGCAGTAGTGGTGCCAACAAGAGGGAGGGCAAAGCGTCGTCATCGGGGAAATCAATGGGAGGTGGGCGCGTGTGTCGGTGTGGGTGTTGCGATCTAGACCTACAATAGGATGTAGTCGGACGCTGCTTTTTGAGGTCAGCACCCACAGCTGCCTTCTTTGGATATAGTCTACTGCTGTACTGCGAGTGGGCGGCGGTACCCAATACGAGGCTGCCTGTATTAGAGTGGTGGATCGACGGGAACATCGACGCTGCTGTTTTTTGGTGTGTTGTATTGGCGATAGTGCAGTGGATTTTGATGATCATCAGATCACACGCACAAAGAGCTTTACCACACCAGTCGCACTGCGTATGACGCAATATACCACCCCAGACCCCGCTTCCAGCAACGGCGAGTGGAGAGGTGGTGTGGGTTGCTACATACCCATGGTGCTGACTACTGCATGGGTCATAACGCTTGCTTTCGGGGGAAAGGTCGGTCATCTAGAAAATCCCCGAGGTACGGGGATTGAAAAAATAACGAGATGCGGACGTTTAATGGTACAGCAGTACCAACACCCCGCTCTCACCGTGATCGTCTGCAGTTCGCCGACTCTTTGTGTTTTTTGTGTTTTCTCCAACAATTGACGTGAAAGCTCAAAAACAAACGGTTCCGCGCATTCTCCTCCGCTGCCCCCCGTACTACAGAGAAACCGGATTCTTTTGTACCACTCGAATTGAATATATCCGTTGTTCAAACTGGTGAGAGAGTACATGCAGAGTTCTTTTGACCAACGGTGGAGGTGGTGAAGGTACAGTGTCGCCGTTCGTCCGGCAATCCTCGCTTCATAGAATGCATGCCTGCGGCAACATGTTAACAAAAAAAGACACCTTGGAAATAACGTTTCAACACCTCCTGCTTATCCGATCGGTCCGACACTCGTGACTGTGACTGACCCTTTCACCCAAAAAGGAGAGAGAAAAGGAGAAGAGGAGCCCGAGGAGCAGGAGGGGAAGCGAAAGGCGCCAGAGTCGAGCCTGATCCAGCAAGAGCTCAAGAAGCAGAAGGTATTATGTGTAATTAGGCGTTATTGGATGCCAGCGCGAAGTATGTGTCAGACTTCGAATCAGTGAAGTGAGTGGCCTTGACGCGTGCCCGTAGGTTGCTGTTACAGGGCTCGCATTTACCATGGCCCCATGGAGTGTAATCGCAATCCTGGGTGGTGTAGCCATCGGTAACGTAGACGTCATCACAGGTTTGCACCATGTCCATGTAAAAAAAAAAACACCGGCATTCGAAGCATGGATGATACATGAAGCCGCGGATTGCTGAAGTCCACCTCAGTAGCAAATCAAACCAAAAACGTCGGCGTTTTCATTTTACGTTTACGAACATGGTGACCTGGAAAGCCTCAGACCCCTCGCTGCCCGCTATCACGAGGCCACCATGGCCCACAGCGGCCGTTGTCTACGACCTTCGTAGGCAGCAGGGCTAGGCCGCTTCACGTGGGAACACCAGTTTGAGCTCTCGTTGGAGTGGCCGCCGGACCGGTGGGCTATTGCACCGCTCTTGTGGTTTGAACCTCTCCCCTCTTGTGTCCAACAGGGCAAAAGACAACGTTGGCTTGGCGGCCGACACCGCGCTCCAGAACTTCATGCTCAACGTTGTATCGAACATGAGAACTCGAGTACCGTTTGCGAGCCCAGTAAAGAACCCCTACACTAGAACCTATATATATAGCGGCCATTTGCAGGCCACAAGAGGAACTACTGTACGAACCCGAACCCCAAAACTATTGTGGACGTTCGCAAACTGCGGGCGTTTTATGTATTCCTTCTTGGCTCCTGTCTCTCTCGTTTTCGTCTAGATAGTGGCAGACAGCGGTGGCGGTGGTGCCAGCACGCTGGCGCTTTATAGACGAAGTCACGCGTGTTTCGCAGAACCCGAGCATCCGCCGTGACCACCAAACAACCCCCACGCTTGCTTGACGACTGACCTGTCACTGGCTGCTGCTGCTGCCGTTGCCGCCGCCGCAGGAGACGCAAGACGAGGAGGAGCTGAACATCGCCCCCAAGAAGGCGAACTGGGACCTGAAGAGAGACGTGGAGAAGAAGCTCGAGAAGCTCGACCGGAGAACGCAACGCGCGATCGTCGAGATCATCCGCGAGCGCATGGCAGAGGTGCGCTGGGGTGTACGACAACGATTTACGTAGTCCGTGTGGGACGACGAGGGGTTGGAAGCACCAGTGCGGTTGCCGTGTGGTTGTGACTGAAACGGAAAAGGTTTTGGCACATGGGTTTGATTTTTGATAGGTGCAAGGAAGAGAGGAAGGGAGATGGGCGTGGCGGGCCGTATTTCGTTGACAGTCGTTCATACATTGCTTCCGTGCGCACACTCACACGTGGCCGAGATTCTTTCCGCGCGTTTAGCCTGAGGTCGATACGGACGGTGTTGATTGACCTAAGGCGGATACCGTTTTCCTGTTTTCCGTGGCAGAAGATAAGACCGCTTGGTCTCCGCTTCTCGTCCTTCGTTTCCTCATTCCAACACCTCATGTTCGCCACCTTGTTGTGTGTTGGAATCCACGCACCTACAGTAGCCATAACTGTTCTGTTCATCGCAGTCATTAAAACGCGAGTGTGGTGCTGTACTGCTGCAGATTTGCACCAATGAGCGGAGGTGACGACACGCGATCCGCTTCGAACGCTGCCAGCCGTCCGTGCACAACCGTACATGGCGCACTACCCTTAGCCATGCCGTAGCCCTAGCGCTCGTCATGATGCCCCCCCGCCTCGTGCCGCCCCCTACAACCCCCTTTCCCTCCCTACCGCCAGGAGGCCGCAAATGCGAGCAGTAGCGGCGAAGAAGGCAGCGGGAGCAGCAGCAGCGGAGAGGAAGAGAGCGGTAGCAGTTCTGATGACGAAGATTAGATACCTTGGGCTGACGTGGAGACCATCCCGCCTGCACCTCTACACTGCTGCCGCACTCCGTGTGCCCATGTGTGGTGATGGGCGTTGCGCTGGTGTTTGTTGCGAGTAATGCTCCTTTTTTTTCGGAAAGACTTCGGGTGCAGGGACCGCGCCAGGACTTCCTGCTCGAAAAAGCGGCGTTCGCTTGGCCTTGACTCCGACTATAAGATGGTAGACGTGCTGCTGCATCTATGCCTTGGTTGCCGCTTCTGCAACTGCCATGCACGAGGCCGTGAGCGACGGCTTGTTTCTTCTTGGGGTTGTGTCGAAGTTATCCGAACGACACGCTGCCTCGCCTCGGTCGTGCCCACGGGGTTTCCGAGCCACGATGAACGATTTCCCGCGTACCACAGAGCACACCTTTCTGTCGGCCGGGTTGGCGTTGTCGGTCCTCAACAGGGCGATTGTTAGCGGACACATTTTGACAAAAGTAAACCTCGAAATGCAAGAAGCACGAAGAATTTCTAAGATAGATTTTATGGCCACCTCATAGTGTGTATGTTTGTTTGGGGTGGCACTTTGGTCGTCAGTAGCGGAGGTAACATCAAGCGGAGGTATCAATCCTTTGCAACGCCTAGCAGTGCCGGATTTTTTTTTGCTTGTGGTTGACGTGCCATTCAATCTGACGGGCATCGGTATGGTACCTGTGCATATTTCAAAAGTTCCGCTACTTGCAATCCTTTCCTCTGCTTCAAAAGCCAGACGCTCCATCCGCAATCCTCAGGCCATGCCTAAGGGGATCGAACAGAGTCCAGGGATTCTATGTAAATGTTGCCACGTATTTTGCCCAACAGGCTGTCTAGGGGCGAAAGCTAAGGTCTGATGGGATCTTTCTGATTCCTCGCCGATTCAGCTGAACAGCGTGCGTGCGTGAACACCGGTGCAGACATGTTTTTGCATCTCGACACTGCTGTCCAGTGAGAGAGGGCCGCAGAGTCAAACAAGGCTTTTCCACAAAAAGGTTGAGACTACCAACATGCATGTCTTGGTGATTATTTTCCCGCGTGTGACCGAGAGATTGCCAGGTCTATCTATTTTGCTCTTTCTATGTCGGCAAAAAAGGTTAGGGGGTCGATAAGTTCGAAGCGGCTGCGTGCCTACTCCACCTTTTGCGTGAGTGGTCAAGAAAAGGCCTGTCGTCGGTGATTTGGGGGGAGTAAGCAGTGATGATCGGTCGTGCCTCAAACGACCACGAGCAAGCAAAACATCAGTCTAGTCTAGTGCCGCCAAGGTTTTGACAAACCGTGATGAGCTGGAAGGAGTGTCCACACCAAGCGAAAGAAACCACATCTCGTTTGCAGGGGAGCTGCTTCCTTCGGCATCAACTTTGGGAGACTTCCCCCTTTCGACGATAATTGCCCGGGCCTGGAAGCTTGAGCACTGCGCACCCAACGTTACCCCCTCCCCCATCTGCATTGTGTGGGCATTCGATACCTTCCTTCCTTTTCACGAAGGAACCGGCTCTAACCAACCACCTGATCCCCTAATTTTTGTCCTGGCATTAATTGCTTGTCGTATGTATTCACAGTGCCAAAAGGCGAACGACCTGTTTTGCCATGGTTCTGTGTGGCTCGTCAGCGATATGCCCTCACATCAAACACGTAGACAGCGAGTGTGTTGAGGTCAATCCATCCAAACCTGTCCATAAAGAATACACAGCACAAGCCAAAACGCCGTGATACTGGAAAGGGGCTAAAAAAACCAACATCGTCTTCACACCTGCGTGTTCAATACAACCGCTTATCCCATGCCCACAGCTGCCGTGTAGTTGAGCCCCCTTGAACACGACGGAGCCCAAACTTTGGCAGGGCCCGCCGCTGAAGTGGACTTGGATTCACAGCAGTTTTCGCGCGCTTCTATGTACCCATTCCACATTCCGCGTTACCTCTCCTTCCTAGCGGTGGGAAATACCCTGCCGACGCTACGCCAGTTTAGCAAGGGAGGACTTCGAGGGTGCCATTGCGTGGGGCAAACTCGCAAGAAGACAGAGAAAGACTACGAATGAATGCATGCAGCGCTACTGAGCCACCGACCTCCCGCACACGACCGAAGTATTTACCAGTGTTTCTCCTGCTTGAACACATCGCCACACAGCATTAGACAAGAGAACAAACAGCTACCCATTCCCTCCTAGACCGCCAGCCTTTTTCACCGCTCGCTAAGCAAAGGGCCCTTGTTTCTACCTCGTCGCAGCCGGCGCCATGCCTACCCGTTGGAATAAACCCGACTCATGGCATGGAAAGAAGGGTGTGAATGCAAAGAAAACACACACAACCAGCTGAGCTCGGTTCGGGCTACAGTACTCATGGCACGGAAAGAGTGTGAGTGCAAAGTAAACAGACACGAACATAGGTCTCCCTGTTGCCTATTATATTCGCCGCTGCCTTCCAACCGGAGGAACTCGCCTAGCAGGGAGTGTTTGTTTCTTCAGAAACAAAACCGCCGACTTTTTCATTGGTCAGGCGGTTAGCCCGATCGACGCTACAACATGTGAAGAACACACACACAAAGCCCGCATCAACATATCAAACGCATCAAATGCACTACAGTGGCCATGTATGGGATGCGCAGTTGCTGCATACATACGCAGTTAAACTTTTGAGGTCGCCGCCTCATGAACAAAGGCTAAGGTCTGCGTTTAGCAACGGAACCAGCGCCGTCCTCCCCGTTCCCTCTATTACTCTCCCAAGAAAAAGTCCGAAAAAAAGTAACGTTAGGAGGTACCGCCTTTAGGTTGGGAAACCGCGTTGTTTCACAGCGAACAAAAGGTTATTGACGCATAATCATCGGGATATATGTAGACGACATGGCTTGCCTCGGCTCTCGGGCCTCTGATACGTTCGTGGCACATCGGTAGTAGTGCCCGTAGGCTTCCCTCTCGGCTCAGACAAAGTCGGCAGCAGGCTTACCGCCGGCGTCTGTCGGAACCCGAGCCCACTCAGGGGTCTCTTCTCGCCCCTGCTCCTTTTCTGCCGCCGATAGTGCCGCGTCTTCTGAGATCTCGTCTCGAGTCGAACCTGCGTCCCACACCTCCTCGTCGTCGTCCCCTCCGATGCCCGCCTGTTCGATTGGTAAACAATATTTGAGTTGACCGAAGCAAAACGCAGCATGTCGTAGACACCGACGAGCAAAGAGCCACAGCAAAGCAGGAGCAGAACGACAGAACCTCTTGCTGTTAATCGTGCCATGCTCGTTGCACGGCTGGATTTACTCGTTAAACGTGTTCTCTGAGTCAGTCTTTTGCCACTCTTCATTCCAGTCACCTACTAGAGGCGGGATCACGCGGACTGGTCGTATTGTTGGGTGTATTCGTTAAACATACTCCTTACGCCAAGGCAACCTTGTGTCCTCTTCATTCAAGAAACTCTGGTAGAGACGGGATTCACGGGGACAACATTCCTTCCTTGAGGCCAGCCACCTTGAGGTGGGATAACCTCGGACTTGTACAAGACGAACGGTGTTGTGGTGATGCGTTGACAGCCGTGGGGCGCTGAACAGGCGACAGCTCAAAAACAACTTTAAGGCAATCTTGCTTCCGTGCCCTCTCTGCTTTGTTTTGCGTTGGTTCAGCATAGCAGCTTCAGTTTCCTGGCGGCTGTTGCGACTCAATCCATCCCAGTATGTTGTTTCAAACCCGTGTTGTACCTCATTCTCATGGGCTGAATAAGTTGGAACCACGTAAAACATGTTCCTGTACCTTAAAGCAGGAGGGAAGAAGGCGAAAAAAGGTCAGAACGCTCGTAACGTGACAACAACATCCATTCCTGTACGATACGGGCATTAGAAGACACAAAGAACACACGGAAACATCTCACCTCCTCCTCATCGGCCTCGTTGAGGCTCATGCTGTCGTTCTCCCCCCAGGCTGTGTCGTACCATGGCCGTCGGATCCACAGGATCAGCAGGGCCGCGTACCAGCTGAAGAGCGTCGCCAACTGAGATATATTGAAGAATATATTGAAGAAAAAAAGATCAAGACAATGTTCGTGGACCACGGATTGGAGCTCCTACATCCGGCAGATATGCTGTGAGGGCTGATATTAAGTGGTCAGGAAAAAAAATGTTGCAAGACGAGTGATAAGTGCTGAATACGTTTTTTTTTGCACCCGGTACTGCTGTACGATAAACCTTTTTGGGGCGAGCGAGAAAAACCAAAACTCGTTGGGCTCGGTTCTCGGTGAGGGAACAACACGCTAAACACAAACCAACTGCTGCGAACAAGCAACAACAATCGACAGTATCAGCGAGAGGGCTGGCAATTGTAGATTGTTTCGACAACACTTAAAACCTTTCTTCAACTTCATGTCCTCAATTCTTGCAGCAACTGCGAGCGACAGCGTGAAAGTGAGGACGACACAAAACAAGAAAGGAAAGAAAAACACCAACAGGCTTCAAGTGAAAGGCTTGAGAGTTGATAGTCTACATCGAACAGAGATAACGATTCGGACCCTTCGCGGCGAAGAGATAGCAGCAGCAGCAGCAACAGCAGCAGCACTAGCAGCAAATTGATCGAACAATCGACAGGGCAGCCTTGTCAAAGAACGAGGGCACACAAAGCTTACCTCGACCATGTGCTCCCACAGGTCAGTGGTGAGCTTGCTAAAGTGTCTGCTGGCCAGGCTGAAGATGCACAACCCCACCGCCACCAGGCTGAACGTCAGCACCGCCACCTGAGAACACACGACACCAACAAACAAACAGAAATATTTAGTTGCCCGAAATTTTTATTGAACCTTTTCGGGGGAGTTAGCCTGTAACCACGGAGGGCTCCGCGTCAATTGGACCAATGCGGATGCTGGAAGAAAATGAGCAGAGATTGCAACGGTTGCTTTTTTGTTGGAGGTAACGACAAGGGTAACAACACGTGCAGACACTCATACGGCGAAAGACATGCAACATGTGTCGCACGAAACGTGGGGAAACACCTCCGTCAGTCAGATGTGACTTCACCTCGCACTACCGCGGCGTGCACTCCTCTTAGAAGCTCCAAAAACGTTGTTTCTTCATTTGGAGTCTGACTTTGTATCACCTGGGGCCACGTGAAACTGAGCGACAGGAAATGCCTCGAGGTGATGTCCTGCATCACGATCAGCCCGAGGAAGGACAGGAACCCGAGAACCACCGACAGTCCCACCTAAGCCAAGTAGTTTAGCCGAGCAGCAAGGTGGAACAGAAGCAGCATCGCAGTACCGAGGTCTGATTTCAAGAAAACTTTACCAAGTAGTTTGGCAGAGCAGCAAGGTGGAAAAGCAGCAGCAGTGTAGCGACTCTAGAACGGTGAATGTACCCTACATTGGGTGGTTAGTCTGTGACCACGGAAAGCGTCCGCGTGAGGTACGGATAATAAGAGAGTACTGAGCGGAGACTGGAATGGTTTCATAATGTGAAGACAACAACAACAACAGCAGCAGCAGCAGCGGAGAAGTACGGCATCACCGGCGTATTTTAGTCGACACAGACAAGAGGGGGAGCCAAGGAGTAACGCACACCGAGCAACAACGCGATGACAAATAACCTTGGTACCCCGTAAGTTGGGGACCAGTCGCCCAAAGTACACCAGACGGGAAAAAAAAATTACCTGCAGGAATGTGAAGGACCTTTCTATGACAACATAATACCTGCTTTCGAGCATAAAACACAAGAAAATACACAGAGAAAGCGACTGGCGTCTTGTGCCGCGCTGGACATATTTTTTTTTTTCACCTTCCTCCTGCGTTACCCCGGTTGCTGCGCCACACATATTCGGAAAGGTGTCTACTGGCGCCCAGCATGCATGGGGATGAAAACTCGCTTCGATCGGACCATTTGCCACGTCACGTCAGTAGCATTTCGACCCCCAATAGAAACGGCATTGGAATTCGAGTTGTTTCGAAAAAAACTCAATTTGTTTGTTGTCCACGCCTTTGACTGCGCCCTAAACAAACCTGTCCTACCAACATGCTCTTGACGTGAAACCAACCCTTGATAATTTGAACAACCTTGTGAGGACTTGTACCTGTGTGTTCGCGTATAGAAGGGCCGCGCAATCCGCTTCCGGTCTCGAGTTAAGGCACCCGATGCACTCGAACGCCAGGTACATCTGCAAAAGGAAGGCCGGGAAGGGGCGTGACAGGGGAGGGGATTTCCTCCTGTGAGACTCCGGCTAGTGTAGTCTGGCATCAGAGCAGAATAAAATGGGATGGGGCAAACACGAACACATGGACCCGTTGTAGCATAAAGCAGTTCTTACCAAGAATAAAGCTGTACGTATCAGTAGTAGTTGTACAGAACGTGCCAGCACCACCTCATGCTTTTACAAAAAAAAATGACTTGGACCTCTCCTCACACCTTAAACGTGCCGTGATGGTTTTCTTCACGGTGCAACTAAGCCGTGAGGTTTGCCCAAAACAAGACGATATCAACGATTTCTCATGGTGCAACTAAGCCGTGAGGATTGCCCAAAACAAGACATTACCAAGGGGTGGCGCGTTTTGCATCGGAAATACGAGGGCCTCGCTTTGTCAAAACGAGAAAAATAACCTCACCAGGACCATGAGCAGCACCGATGACCACAAGAAGATTTTCATCGCCTCCCTGACCAGGCCCAGGTGGTCCGAGAACTTTCGGTGCAGGCCTAGCTTGAGTGCCTGCGTATGAATAGTCGCACCGCCCGCAACAAAAAAAAACAACGAAGCGCACAACGAACACAGTCATTCAAGATAGGCGGTGTTTCTTCGACTTCAGCAAAGCACTTTGGGATGAGGGGGCTAGAAACGAGTTGAGCACGGTTGAGTGTCGATGAAAGGCTACACCAGCTGGCAGAGTCTGCAGCATTATCTCATCGTTTCGTTTTCGTCGACACGCTTTTTCATGTGTCGAAACTACCACCACCCAACCCCACCACCGACGGACGTCCCTAACCCTCGCTGATTTCACCACGACGAGGAAAAATACCCTACCGGAGAGCATACTAATCCAGGAAGGCAATCTGTGAAAAGCAGCCAAAAAGTCAAAAATGATCCTTCTTGACAAAAAAAAAGCGACAATTGGTAATCTGCTGTTGCCGTTCGTTCACAAAAAGACATGTAAGACTCCACGTTTACATCTGCTTCACCTGAATACCGTAGAAGAGGCACGGGTACACGGCGAAGAACGCGCTCAGCGTATACACGGCCTGGGTCCAGTCCCTGCAAATGAAGAGGTGTGATTGGACGCGGTTCGGTACATTGTGCGGTTTCGCGGGGGGAAACACAAGCAGCAACCGCAACTCACGATTGACCAGACATGCAAAACGACGACACGCCTTCCATTGCGCCTACAAGTGATTAATGTCATGGCGTTTGTTCCGGTTGGAACGTGTCAGCGGATGCAAACGTTTGGGCCCTGCGACAACGATCCGTGACCGAGCGTGTATAGAACCACCCGGAAGTACCAACACAGCGGAGGGGTTGACGACAGCATACAACCCCGAGAGGGAACCGAGCAATGAACCGGTACACACAGCAGTAAACGACAACACCAACGACATCAACAACGATAGCTACAAGACAGCAACAACAGTTCAAGTTAACGGCAACGACAACGCCCAAGAGCATCTTCAACAACAACAACTACGAACACCACCACACCAACACCAACACCACCACCACCCACAACAAAAATGTTAACGACAACGACAACACCGAAGACATCATCAGCAACAACACATCAGCAACAACAACAACAGTAGTACCTGACGCTGACCCAGAGCAGAACCGAGATCGCCTCCGTGCAGGCGTGCAGCAGCAGGTGCACGATTTCCATCGTGGACGTGGGGTGCTCGATGGAAATGAGCCAGTGAGAGCACACGCATGCGAACGACACCCCAACCACCGCCGTCGCGTACCCCCTGGAACGAACGTACGCACACACGGAAAAGCGATAAGGTGCCACATTGCTGGTGGTGTGAATGTGGTGAACTAATCGCTCGGCTGGGTATTTTTTTTGGTTGATTCGGGCGTTGGGCTCGGACCCGACAATTGATACTGAATACTCGTACTCTTGACCTCATCTTGGTTGTTCGTATGGGTATGTTTACTTTTCGGTTTCAGTTTTGACATTCCCCGTGCGTCGCCTCGCACGCTCCAACTCAACGGGCACAACGTATCTTGCGGCAGACGACCACATGACTATGCATACGAAGAGAGGTCACCCACCTCTTGATACCGCCCGCCGCCACCCCGAGCATGACGATGAAGTAGACCACCGTCGAGGAGAAGTAGAGCAGCCGGAATACGGGGAGGTTGTTCTGGGTGTTGCGCTGGTCCATCCAGAAGGCGAACGAGTTCCAGCACGCACAGCAACACCTTGGGGACAATAAAAAAAAAAAGCACGTCTTGAGTGCGAGAACCAAAAAAGGGACTGATATAGCAGACACAATACGTATGGATCGAGAAAAGTCTCGTCTGTGGAAGACATGAATTTGTTGTGATTTCGTAAGAATGAAAGGAAAAAAACAGCAACAAGCTCCACATACAAACCAGAAGAGTAACGAGTAAACCGTTAACCGCAGCAACACCTTGCGTAAAAAATAAAAATAGAGAAACAGGAGCGGAAAACTGATAAAACACGCCACACTGCAAAAAAAAAAAGAAGCGAAAACGCACAAAAACAAGCACCCTGTACAGCAGTAGCCTCCCGTTACAACCAACCTCACCTGCTGTCGTCCTCCTTGTCATCGTCGCCATCCTCGCCATCTACCGCCACCCAGTCCTCGCCGCCGCCGCCGCCGCCGCCGCCGCCGCCGCCTTCCCGCGTGGGAGTGGAGACGCGCATCATCTCCGCGCCCTCGTTGCCGGCGAGCGGTGTCGATCCGTTGGTTTCGGTGGCGGCAGTAGCAGTAGCCCCTCCGTCGTCCTTGGTGTCGGTGTTGTTGTTGCCGTCCCTTTGTTGTCGCGGCCCGCCGTTGGGGGTGCTGGACTTGCGGCCCGATAGGCGGGGGGGGCTTCCCTTTGAAGGACTGCAAAACGTCAAAGAATACAGAAAAAAAAAAAAAACAAGAAATGATTAAAGACAACCGGCAGCACCGGGATGTGCAGGCGAGGTAGTTCCTCCTAAGAGACCATACAATGTCCCAAATGTCGGGGGATTGATTCCCAGAAGAAAGAAAATCAATGAAAAATCGTTTCATCCGTAGGTTTAGCAATTATTATCACAAGCAGTTTTTTTCTGGGTGAGACCACAAAAGACAAGATAGAAAAACCTCCCAAAGAAAAACAACCAAAAAGGAATCACAAGGCGAGACGTTAAACGGTTCAACGTTGTGGACAGACACCTTAACACGGGTAGCACGAATGGCAACACGGCATCTTGAATGACATGCGAATTATTGCACCGTCACCTGTTGGTAAGCCCGGCACGGCTCCCTTTCCGCCTCTCCGCTGCCATGGCTAGGGCCAGGTTGTTGGCGGCCTCATCAAGGCCTGTCCCGCGACGGTTTCACGGCGGTTTCACAGCGGTCTCACGAACAGTTTCACATATTCACGGCGATTTCACTTTCTCACGACGGTTTCACGACGGTTTCACAACGGTTTCACCTTTCACAACAGCTTCACGGCGGTTTCACGACGGTTTCACAACGGTTGTACTTTTTCGCGGCAGTTTCACGGCGGTTTCACGATGGTTTCACGACAAGTTTCACGACCGTTCCACTTTTTCACGGCGGTTTCACGACTGTTTCACAACGATTCCACAACAGCTTCACGGCGGTTTCACGACGGTTTCACAACGGTTTCACCTTTTCACGACAGTTTCACGACGGTTTCACGACGTCATGGCAATTTCACGAGTCTCACGACGGTTTCACGACAGAATCACGACGTTTTACGTTGCCATGGCAATTTCACGAGTCTCACGACGGCTGCATGACCGTTTCACGGCGGTTTCACGGCGGTTTCACGACCGTTTCACCTTTTCACGGCGGTTTCAGGACGGTTTCACAACGGTTGTACTTTTTCGCGGCAGTTTCACGGCGGTTTCATGATGGTTTCACGACGGTGTCACAACAGTTTCACGACGGTTTCACAACGGTTTCACGGCGGTTTCACTTTCTCACGGCGGTTTCACGACTGTTTCACAACGGTTTTACGACGGTTTCACGACGTTTTACTTTGTCATGGCAATTTCACGAGTCTCACGACGGTTTCACGATAGACGGGATACGAGTCAGTCACTACCGTCCTACGCGACGGCATGTAGTTACCTGATAGAAATCATAGCCACAACGACAGCTTAAAACGAGATTAGGTATGATTCCCCAAAACCAAACCATCTAAAGTGCATCAGAAGAACACACATACGTATTCTCATCACCCACAGGATGAAGCTTGTACAATGGGTAAGCGGTTCTCGGTCGCACGTCAGCGACAATAACATCGAATGACAGCAGTCAAATGTGGCAAAAACGAAAAAAAAAAGTTTCACGGTAACCACAAAGACACGCTCTTTCAAGCGATACTAGTATCTGGCACAGCGTTGCTCGAGGCAACTCTTGCGTGTGAAATCAGTAAAACATACAATATATCCCTCCAGAGTGCGCTCATGCGAGCACAGCAGCGTCATCAAGGGCGCAGGACCAGCCCACAGCTTGCTGCCGGTCGTGACGTTTCCCACGATCAACATATTACACAGCCGACGTAGTTTTGACTCGAAAGAGTCAAGCGAACCTTCGCGAGTAAAAAAAAAAATACAAATCTACACAGTCTTACGGGAGGTCCACCCAACCTCAATATATGTACTGCTGCAAAGATATTTTAAGTAGTATCGACGTCAGCGGCAAGCCTACCGTAAAATTTCGAGTCTTAGACCGACTTTCACTGCTTGATCGCTTCACATCCGAGAGAGGGCAGCAACGCCGAAAAAGGGTCGATTTTGGAAAGATCTCGTCGAAAGAGCTTTTCTTGCATGTATCGGTATCAGTCGAGTTTCGCGCATTCACACCGTCTAGGTTGACGAGCATTTTTTTTTTTTTTTTGTCTTCACTTCAAATCAGCTCTCACAGCAATGGACTTTTGAAAATCGATCTCGGGGGTGTGCAATCACCCGCACCTGTACAGGGTTTACACCACTGCAACTCATGTTTTCACCTATATAATGTTTTCGGACGTGAACGGTCACGATCACGACGGCAAAGACAAAACAACCATAACGAGCAGCACTCGCAAAAAACTCTCTAACCTGGAGCATTGGCTGTAGATGGCATGTTTGGTGTTGCTGCGGAGCCCCCCCCGCCGCCATTTTGGCTGACCATCACCTCGAGCGCCTTAGCCTGGTGTATAATCCCATCCGCACCAACAAATGTAAATGATGAAAAAAAAATAACCCGGAATCACGGAATGAGAAGAGATAAGAGACTAGGACGGGCGACGGATGCACGCACAAAAAAATAAAAAAACAAAAAAATAATTTACCCAACGAGCAACGGGACACTGTGGAGGCGAAGCGATGAATAAATCAATAAAATAGAAAACACACGGCGCCATAGACACGAAAATATAGAGAATCAAGACTAACGATAGACAGCAACACGGCCTACACACACTACTTCCTCCTCCTCCATACAGCTATAGACACGGACAGCAACCGGGCTTCCTTCTGTACATGCCTTACCTGCTTGCGCGTGGCAACTACAAATACAGCATATCTGATGCGCATGGGTGACCACGCACATAAGACTATTAACAACAATGGGTGCACGCGCAGATAACGGATTCTTATGTTGCGCACAATAAAATGAAAGGTATCTCCTAAGATTGTTTTCCCTCACTGTAATACATATACTGACTGAGCACACGTAACAAAATCATGCGCCGTTCTCACCCTGCCGCTTCCTACGGTCGGCGTGAGGTGAGCCATCAGCAGGCAGACGACGATCCATAAGAACATGGTGGCCCACTCCAGGCCCTGCCGGACCTCTCCGACCTCGGTTACGCCGTCCTCTCGATTGGCCATGAAGTACAGCGACACCGAGCCGGATACCACGGAGAAGATCACCACCAGAATCTGATTCGTTTTTTTTGCGCAAGAGAGAGGGAGAGAGACAGAGGAGACAGAGGAAGAAAGAGGAAGAGATAGTCAAACAGACAGAAGGACAGGTTCAGTAGGCAGAAACAACAAAAAATTGGAAGGAGTGCAAGCGGGGCACTTTCTGCTTTATCGGTTCGACATCTGGAGTATCAAAGTTACTTTGTCATAATTTCTGGTCAAAATATCCCGTAGATTACCCTCGCCTCGTGCACGTACCGGGCTGTCCTACTGCCTCTGCTGGAGGAGGCAAATATCCGGAGGCTTTTCCATACCATAGAGCGATTTCTCTACAACATATACATGCCTCCTTTCCATTCAGTGTAGCCAGATTTTGTATCCTCCCGAACGACGGATTTCTCAACAATGGCACACGGGATGGTGATCAACCATTTTGATCATCGTCAGGAATCGAGTACACACTTAGAACCACTGATCGTACATGCAAAAAAACAAGGAAGAAAAAGGAAAAATATATATAGAGCTCAAAAATGTGCGGGCATCGGGGCTCGAACTCTCAACCTTCCAGATCGAAATTTTTTTCCAACAGCCCATCCCCGGGCGTTGGATCCATGACTTTGATAACCAGAGCACTCGGAAATACTTCATCTTTAGTAGACCAGGACTCAATGATTTCCTTACAAGACCACTGAATGTATACCACTGCTGTAAGGCCACACGGCCGGAAGCAAAAAATAAAATCGGGAGGACGATTTGAGGGGATAGAGAGGATCGACTTCTCGACCTTCCCGAACAAGGAAAACGGTGTACCTCAGGGAAATTGGATATTACGGCTTAGACCTTCACACCAGGTATCGCCAACATCCTTACTAGATCCCTCATGGATACGAAACAAGACACTTAGAAGGCAACGGCAGGGCGAAAAAAAAAGTGCGGGGATAGAGAGGCTCGAACTCTCGACCTTCTGCTTATGAGACAAACGCTCTAGCCAACTGAGCTATATCCCCCCCGCACGTGGACTGAACGATACGTGCGAGTCAGTGCTTATGTAGGCGACATATACAAACACCCCGGGCTGAGTTGAATCCGGAGAGCGTGGTTGCGGGTTAGCGCACGGTCCGGGGTTTCCGCACGGTCCGGAGTCATCGCACAGGGGTGCGATGACTCTCAACCTACAGTAGGGTAGTAGTGGAGTGCGAGCGATTTCGGGGCAACTTCACCCGTGCAATTATGCCCGTGCTGGCTATGGCAACTTTCACTTCTGCAACCATGCCATTGCTGGCCAATGGCAACTTTCACTTCTGCAACCATGCCATTGCTGGCCAATGGCAACTTTCACCCCTGCAACCATGCCAGTGCTGGCATGTAGCTCTGCTGTATGGGTAGGTAGGTCATCGTCGCATAGTGTGAAGGAAATGAAACACATTGGTATTTCCATGTGATCGGTAAACTTGAGCATTGTCCATTCAACTAAAACACCAAAAGAAAAAGAGCAGCCATTAGCCAAAACAACTAACAGCAGTTTGTACCATGGAACGGCACCATGGAACAGCAGCACTACTGTACCTTTGTTCTACGGAGTACTTCTTTCGCTACGAAATAAATCTCAACCCCGTCACTACCAGAAACACCGAACAGCGCCAACCTCCGTACTGCTGGAATTCACAAACAAGCTTGTTCGGGCAGTCAACCTGCCACTACTGGCACAATACAAGAGAGCGCGAGCCAAAACGTTTACAGATCATCCCCTCCCGCAGCCCCAACCCATGGCCCATCCAACAGCTCTACATCGCTGTCGCCGTCTATGATCTCCACTTCATCGTCACTGTCCCCCTCGGGAGGCAGCAACTTCGGGGTGACCTCCTTCTCTGCAGTTGCGATCGGGTTGGCGCCAGATGCAGATGACACCTCGGGTAGCTGGAGCGGCGGGAGAGCCAAGCCGGGGCGTTGTGCTCCCCACTCGGCGCGCTGCTGGACTAGAACCTCACGGTAGCCTTCACCAAAGTTGTGGGTGCACCACGCGTCGTCCTCGCAAACGTCGAGCGCAAGCGTGAGGCCGCACACCTTGAAGCACATCTTGACCGTTTCGGGGGTGATAGCTGCCCATGACTCCTTGCACCACGTCGACACGAGCCCACGCCCCGGCGGTTGAAGCTTGCCCGTCTTGGGGTCTGCGATCGCCGACGCCATGTACTGTGTGTACCGCCCCCGCATCAGTCGCTTCATCCTTTTGTTCAGCATGCGATCCAGCGGCTGAAGAAGAGGAGTCAACCCGCCCGGGATGAGGATGACGGTGGTGTTTGTCCTTCTCCGGAGGTCCTCGATGAAGGATTCGCTACGGTGGCACCTGAAGTCGTCCAACACCAAGATGCTGTGCCGCTGCGTGATGACGCACCCGTGGTTAGGCCGAAACCTCCAGCTTTCGGACAGCCACAGGGTGCACTCGCGCGCGTCACACCAGCTTTCTCCTGCACGCCGAAAGACATGCCGGACACAGGGTACCCGAACTTGGTGCGGTTGGCAGGAAGGACCTCGGCCGCAATGGAGCCCTTGCGGGGCTGAGTGTTCTGTCCCCGCCCCGCCGTGCTAGGCGGAATGAATGGCTTGCCCTTGAAAATGATTCGCGGGGGAACCTTGCCACCGTCCGCCATGACAGCAAGACATAGCGTTAAACGATCTTTCCCTTTTCCTGCGGGGAAGAGAGGGGGAGCAAGTGTACGGCGGGGAGAGGGGAAGCTTTCGATGTTCAGCGACTCAAGCTTGACGCTGGTGAAGTACACTTCGACAGCACGAATCAAGGAACCACACAAGCACGCGAACGCAATACAAGCGCAAAAGCGATATACAGTAACATCCGCAGGGGGAAAGGTGGGGCACGAAAACAAACATATGTATAATGAAAAAAACTGTGCGATCCCGGCTGATATATAATACGTTTACCAAAGAGGAAAAAAAACTTAAGACCCATCGACTGGTGTCAGCAGAGACGGGACCAAGACACACACATAGCGCGGTCGATGCTAAAAAATATAGACAAACACAGGCATTGGACAGGCACATACAGTAACTGGTATGGGTATTTATAGGTCAAATCTCACCTCCCGTGCTGACGCGAGCATCCTTCGCACCGCGCTTCTCCAGAGTTGTTTCCACTGGCATCTCCTGCTGGACTGGCGCTTGGTCCATGTTGCCGAGTTCTTCGAACACTTCCGAGGCAACCGACTCTAGCTGCGCGGGACTGAGATCCTTCCCTTTGATGGGGCTCTCGCCAGATGCAGGTGGGTTGCATCGAGCGTAGATCTCACCAGCGCGCTCCAAGAGGGCCGTACGAAGCTTCATCAACGTCGCGAACGCCAAACCCTCGAACCCCGTCGGTAGCTTTTGTCCCACGCTGGTGCGCCGGCGGATGCTGAAACCGTGCCGTTCGCGGAAACGATGGTACCAGTTCTTGAACTTGGTCCTGAAAGCCAATGTCTCCTCCGCCGACGCAGCGGCTGTCAACCCGCCGAGAGCGTCAGGCTTCACCTCAAGCAGCTTGTTCATGACTTCCATGCGTGCGCAGCCGCGATGTTCCCTACGCTGCTCGTTGATGTAGTCCTCCAGGTCTTGTTCGACCTCGGCTGTCGTAGGTGCCATACCAGCGTGAATCGATTTTGCCTTCGATAGTTAAGGCTTCTCCTTCACCAGCTTCTTCATTGTTGCCTCCTAGCCGACCCAGGTGATGATGCGCCTGCGATCCACCCCGAGAACTTTCGCCGCTCCGGAATTTCCCACTGGTTGACCATCCTCGCAAAGGACTCACGTGAATGCGGCTGCTTTCAGTTTGAATCTCATGGGGTAGCTCCCTTTCTTGCCTCCGGTCCTCTCGTTGACGAAGTCAGGCTCGGGGTATTTGCGCTTTTTGTGGTGTGATGGTGTGGGGTCGTTTGCCGCAAGCATCTCGTCGATGGCCTCTCCTTCTGCCAACGGGTCCGCAGGGGCAGCTAACGCGTCAGCAGAGGAAGAACCGCCACCACTAGCCCCTGAGATCGCGGCACCGCCCGTCCTTGATACCTCCGACATGATTGCCAAGCGATTGTGGGTCGCGTGTACTGCTGTTGTAGGCACAACTCGACGGCGGGCAATACCCATGTTTTCCGCCCGCGGCATTTTGTATTCCGCCGTGATATATTTCGCCGCGTTTTGNGTGATGGTGTGGGGTCGTTTGCCGCAAGCATCTCGTCGATGGCCTCTCCTTCTGCCAACGGGTCCGCAGGGGCAGCTAACGCGTCAGCAGAGGAAGAACCGCCACCACTAGCCCCTGAGATCGCGGCACCGCCCGTCCTTGATACCTCCGACATGATTGCCAAGCGATTGTGGGTCGCGTGTACTGCTGTTGTAGGCACAACTCGACGGCGGGCAATACCCATGTTTTCCGCCCGCGGCATTTTGTATTCCGCCGTGATATATTTCGCCGCGTTTTGGTGTGTGTGTGTGTGTTGTGTTCTTTCTCCAAAACCTAGCATCCATCGGGCTAGCTACTATGGTTGGCTGACGTGCGCGCGTGTGTGTACATTGCGTGTGGAGCCTGCAACCGCAGTACAGCTGAGGTGTCCGTGCGTCTGCTTTCGTTGAAGTACCGCACGTACTGGAGTTATCGCACAGGGGTGTGCGTTGAAATTCTTGACAATATCGCCTCCAGGGTTTACTGAGGACCGCACCTCCTGGAGTCATCGCACAGGGGTGTGCGTTATGTATCAAACCCAATTATATAATTCGATTTCCGCACAGGGTGTGGAGTCATCGCACGGTCCGGGGTCATCGCACCCCTTTGCGATAAAAATTTAATAGCGAAAATGTTCAAAAAACGATCGCACGGGGGTGCGCTAACCCGCAACCTTACGGTACTGCTGTGTTGGGTACCTTGGTCTCGCTTTTGCTGTTGCTTTTGTTTTTGTACATCTGGCTGTCTGCCCATCTGCCGCCTCTTTGTCCTGTTTGCTCCGTCACTCCCATGCCCTGGTACGTAGTGCCTGGTGCTGGTACGTTACCCTTTGATTTTTCTTTAGGCGGGTGTGGGAAGCGTCCTCCTTTATTTTTGTTCTTGTTTTATTTTGATCAGTTTCCAAGGGCTCTTTTCTCGAACGGTCGGTGCGGTACCTGTTCTTTTCTTTCTATCATTTTGTTTTCTTTGTCCGAGTGGTTTGTACCCTATTTTGTTTTGTTTCCCCGTGGCGTCGTATGTGCCGGGTTTCGAGACCACGGGCTCCCCATTTTTTGTGGACTATAGAGCTACTGTGAGAAACAACAACAACAACAACGACAACAACAACAACAACAACAACAACAACTGTAGCCCCCCCAATGACGCCCCCTCACGGGGTCTCAGAGCATGGTCTTGGAGGAATTTCCGTTTTCAGCCGCATTTTACACTAACGTAAATTCGTTGGTCAGCCGGTGCAAAAAACAAATGAGACACAATACCGAAACGGTCAGTGGGGGGCTTTCAATAACGCCGGCATGTGCCCGGCGCATCGCCGGGCGCTTTGATAGCCCCCCCACTGCTGTATAGAACTTCTTCAATCGTCACCAACCTCGTAGGGCCTGAGCTCGAGGTGGAGAGTCCTCGTGATCGTGAGGTCCCCCATCTTGAAGAGGATCACCCGGACGACGAGGAAGATGAGGATGATGTTCATGCCCGAGATGAGGTTGGAGTGGATGATGTTGTCGCAGATAGCCTCCTCGCCCACGGGGGCGTGAGTAAGACACCCGTTCGCCTGGGCAGCAAGCAACGACAACCAACATCAAAGGAGGCAGAGAAGAGAGGAAGGTTTAGGATACCGGAGGGGTTCGCAGCTGTACTCGAGGGGTACTCGGTGTCCCGCACGGCGGTAGCGGGAAGACGTTAGTATTATACTTCCTAAAACCGGATTGGCCATGAAGCGAGCGACGTGGGGGGGGGGGTGTACTCATAGTCGTGCATGCCGTAGTCGTTAGACCATTGACCTCGCATCCCTACAAAGCCGGGACGGAGCACGCCGGG